CACCTGGCCATCTGAGAGAAACTTGACTGAAATGAAGTTTGGGGGGCAGCTTTTGGTGTTGGTGAGGGGGTTCAGGAGTGAGGGGCTGTATAAGCCTCCAAACAGATACCCAGAGTTCTCTGGAGCTTTTCCATTTACAGAGCACCAGTAAGTGTTGATACGAGCAGAGCGTACATAGTAATTGTCTTGACAGTCTGAACGATGACACCTAAACAAGCCAAACAATCCACAGTGGTAGCTTACGTCATGGCACTGGTACAAACTGTAACCCTGCTGTCTCACTTCTGATCTCAGTAATGTGGGGTAGTACGGCGAACGACAGGAGAAGTCACCTGTGTCTGGGTTTTTCTGGGCCAGGGTATCACATAGCGGACCTGCATCTGAGCTGAGTTTACTACACTCTTGATAGACGCCACCAAAACTGAGGTTTGTAGCAGGACCTTCGCAGGAACTATCATCAATGTTGGCCTGAAAGTTAAAGTTTTTAGAGTTTACGTCTACACAGCCAGGGCGGGTGTTGACCTTGTAGTATTGGTCTATGGCCTGACTCACTCTAAGAGCCACTTTGTCAGCTGTAGGCGGTGGCAGATTAGGTAGAGTGTTGGTGTTTATAAAGTAGTGCAGGGGAATTCCTGACCGATCAATAGCAACCAGATTGTTTCTGATACTTTCCTGCCACTTCTGCAGAGTGATGCCAGGATAGAAAGGTGTGCCACCGTGGCTTTGGATAACAGAGTACTGAATGTTAGACTGATACGCCTGAAGTGATGAGCTCTGCTGGGTGTTTTGACTACTTATGTCAAACTTAAGTTTGTCAAAAAAGTTTAAGCCAGCCTGTGTTTTGATCGAGGAACTTTGTGATTCATTGGTTGATACATATGAAGACCGGAGGTAGTCTTCCTGCACCAACGCAGCCCCCGCATCGACACTGGTGATAACATGAGTTCCATAGTCCAGGACCATCTTCTCTGAGAGGTAGTCCGCATGCCTTGTTTGGTTGTTTTCAATAGCATCAGCAATCTCTTGGGCTTGTTGAACGAAGCGTGTGTCCAGAGTGAAGTCTGGATAAGCCTTAACTGTGTAGATGAAGTCGCGAATCTTTAAATGAAAGGATTGTAACAACATTAAATGTTATAGGTGGTTTTTAACATGTGACAAACTTTAATCTTATTAAATGTGTTTGCTTTTAAAATGACTGTCACATCTGTCCAGGGACTACAGAGGATAAATAACGTTTTAGCTAACACAGCACATTTGAAGCAGTTTTGTAAATGCAACCACCTCTATTAAACTGTTAAAAAAAAGCTTTCACTCAACAGTCAATGTTTTGTATTAACCAGATTCATAAGTAATGAATGGTAGTGCATAGATAAGGAAAATACCTGTGAGATTATATTTATTCTTGAGCAGCATGTGGTGATCTTTGTGAATTTTATACATTTAAATCATGAGAAATCAAACTTACCTGTACTCTGGCTGTAGTTGAAGAGTCTTTGACCTGATGGGTTTTCATCCTATCAGTTTCAGTAGAAAATTTGCCATTCAGCAGTGAGAGGAAGGATATGTCTGCATTTATGGTTTTTGATGTAGAACTTTTCTGCTCCAGCCAGGAGCTGATTATCTCCGAGTTGGTCTCCACACCTGTCTCCTTCTGGGGGATAACAAATACTTCATCTGGGATGAGGTAGAGCCCGTCTTCAGTGGTCTGGCACTGGAAGTAGCTGAGGTTCATGACTCGACCCATATCCATGTTGCGTAGATTGTCCCAGCCTCCACCTGGCAGCACCTCCAGTGCTGTGAGGGAGAGGTCGGTGGAGGCACGACATTGTCTGAGCCAGTTGGTTGGGCGGCTGATGGGGACAGGAGAGCAGATGTGGAGGAGAGACAGAGCCAGGAGGGTCACTGCTGTCTTCATGATGGCTGTGTCAGAAATGAGGGCTGTACCCGCTGCAAACCAGGCTTCAAACCAGGCTTCAAACCAAGTTCCTCTTTATCATATGGCACAAGAATCTCTTGTTTAGGAATTGGTGTGGGAGGGTGAGGTTATACTTTCATTTGCATGTCTGCATTTTTCTGCAGCTAAAGTATATATACAATGGGCTACTTGCTAACAGAAAAAAGACCTCTAAGTAATAAGGAGTTCATCTTCTTAAGTTATGACTAAACTTATTTTCTATCAAAAATAATTTCACAGTAAAATATAACTACATTTAAAAACAAGTATAATAAAACCTCCAAAAGGAAATGCTTTATAAATATACCCTTGGTTTATAATGCTGCAGTGATTTTTGAAAAGCTGACTTCATAATCAATGCATGCTTGGGTAATAACAGCTTAGCGTGCTGACAAGAACAGAGTCAGAGTACTTTACAGAGACCGTGAGAACCTGCCTAAATATATGCAGCTGCAACTACTAGAGTGTGTCACACAGGAAGAGTATAGCTTTTCATTTATGACCTCTTCATTATTCTCCCACCACCTGTTCAATGAAATGTGAAGAAATAATAGAACTAGATAGAGTGTTCATAAAAGGCAGGGTGGGTAAAAAAAGGATCTGATTAACTGTAAACAGAAGTTAGTTTTACAGTTCATTTTTGTACTTCTAATGAATATGTTCACTGACATCCTCTTTTGGAAAGTTATGAAAAACAGAAATGAAAACCAGATCTATTTAAGGGAAGTGGCTGCGACTGCACATGCCGATTGTCATGCGAGTGTACGTCACCGGGAATGTTCTGAAAATGTCTGATTTAAACCACAGATCAGTCAAGGGTCAGCTTGAATATTTTGGCAAACTACAAAAGATTACTAAAAATAACAGGTAACAATACTCAGAATTATAAAAAAAATGCTATACATTGTTAAAACAGTATAAGGAACAATCTGAAATATGTCTTATACATTCTATGGGGAGTTTTTTTTTCTCGTTATTTAAGGTTAATATATAGCATCACATAATTACTAAATTACAAATTATCTTAGAAATTTGTAACATTCACACTTATCTCTGATCATTTACCATTTATCTTAAAATCACTGTATAAATTTACAAGATTTCCCACACAAATCATAGAGGAGAACACACAGTTTGTAACATTTGTTGAAAAATTATTGGCTGTTTATCATCTTTCAAGTCACTGCAATTTTAGCTATTGGTCTAAAAATATTTAATTGCCAATAGAAATAAAAGTACAAAGATAACTCAAATATAATAGATGCTTTTTTTTAATATTCGAAAAATACATTTAACTGCTCTGTTAAATGTTCTAAATGCGCTGCTGCTCGTCTTTTAACACGTACTAGGAAATTTGACGATATAACCCCGGTACTGGCCTCTCTTCACTGGCTTCCAATCCGTTTTAGAATTCATTTTAAGCTATTGATTTTTGTTTTTAAGGCTCTTAATGGTTTGGCACCGCCCTACCTCGCTGAGTTGGTGAGGTGGCACGAACCGACTAGATTACTCAGATCCTCGAGGCAGTTTCTTTTAGAGGTTCCCAGGGCCAGATACAAACGCTGGGGTGACCATGCTTTTATTGTTGCAGCTCCTAAATTATGGAATGGTTTACCTCTTAATGTTAGATCATCTACAGACTTGACAACTTTTAAATCATTGGTTAAAACATATTTATTCACTTTGGCTTTTAATACATAGTGTTGTCTAATGCTTTCTTCTTATAACTGTTGATTTTGTGTAGGTCGTGTTTTTATGTTCTTATGTTTTTATTTCTCTATTGATATTATTTCTGGTTTTTACATTGCCTTTGTACAGCACTTTGGTTGACCTGACGTTGCTTTTAAAGTGCTATATAAATAAATTTTGATTGATTGATTGATAGTGAATAATAATTGCCTGTATTTTACAACATGTTATTTATTATGCTACTGCTTTGTTTATAAAATTTTAGTGCCAGCTTTTTTCAGTTAATTCCAGGTTTATTTTTAGTACAATGATTAGATGAACTTTGCTAGTTGGTCATTTACTAGGAACAATTCTCTTTTTTCTTATAAAGTATTTCACTACAAATTGGAGCTTCTGTATGTTACATTTTCGTATGGGAAACGCCGGGTTGAATTTGGGTTGCATATGAGGAGAACAACATTTTATAAAAATGCCTCTGTGATTGTCATCCAGTAAAAGCTGACCTGAGGTGACCCTCACAGCCAGTAGTCATTC